ATATATATATATATATATATATATATATATGCCTCTCGTCTTTTGCAAGTGGGTGATTATAAAACAATATAGTACAATATTATTTAATATGAGATGGTTATCATGTGGCCTAATTATAGCTTTTGACGGTTCCGACTGACGTATGTCTTCTCAATAAATTGGAGGTGGCTTCTTTATGATATATGTGTCATTCGATTACTTCAAATTCTGTTCGGCTCGACTCTCGTTGTTATAACTAATTAAACAATCCACTCCACTGGCCTAACCCGAGTACGGTGTACGAAGTTAGTTATTAGTGAGAATTAGCCATCTCATGTTGTTCAAACTAATTAATTAATCCACTCCACTTGTCTAATCTAACTTGCGGTTTACAACATTAATTATCAACGAGAATTAACCAGCTCTTTTTGATAAATGTAATTAATTAATTCACACAAGATCATCATTATACTTAGGCATATTTTCTTACAAAACATCCATATTAGTTTGACAAAGCATCCTTACCAAAGAAAATTTGCATTTATTTAAGACTTGAATGCAACACGAGCTTTTAACATGGGATAAAATCATATACATAAAAACTCCAAATAGAAACTAAGTAATAATATTTCATCTCCGAAGCATAGAATCACTTGAGGTGAACAACATTTCACGACCTCGGTAGTTTCTTTCCTTGGCTGTCATTCAGCTCGTACGCGACACCGTTCAAGACACATTCTAGCGTATAAGGTTTTCCCATTTCCGTTTCAATTTCCCCACATTCTTCGAATCATCAACCCGCTTTAGAACTAAATTTCCAAAGTGGAACCTGTAGATGCGAACTCTTCTGTCAAATGCAGCTCCAATATTGTGTTTATAAGCAATTGTACGAAGGAATGACTCCTCTCACAGCTTGTCCGCCATGTCCAAGGCTTCCTTTGCTAATTTCTCATTCTCGTGGCAATTATAGCAGGTAGCTCGATGTGAGCTAAGTTGAATTTCCACAGGTAGCAATGTCTCTATGCCATACACCATGATAAATGGAGATTCGTCTGTCTAACTCTGAGGAGTAGTTCGATACGCCTAGAGTACAAGTGGGTCATCAATTCGTCTGTTAATTGAGCTATCTTTATCCTATATCAGATCGCAACACTTACATAAACTTTATCAGTTCTACCATAAGAATAAGGTGAGCGACTTGAGCCATCCGACCGGATCAGTTCAAATAACCCGAGTTAACAAATTCAGTTCAATCAAGTTGAGTTAAATCAAATGGTTAAAACACTATGGATAAAACCACTAAAATAATGATGAAATTTTCCACCTTTAACAAACCCCCATCATCACCTTGCCAAGGGCTTTGCATTATCTCTTCACTCGAAACTTCCTCATATCTTTTATGCCGCTCGTGTTCACACCAATCCCACACGTCTCCCTCTCTCTTATTTCTCTCTCTATATAAATTATATTATTATTATTATATGGGCAGCTGACCGGAAAAAGTTTTTCAAATCCCCTAATTTGTGTTTGACAATTGTCCGACGCGTTTACACTTCTATTCACACATTTCGTCGATCACCTCGTCTGCATATCTATCGAACTCCCCGATTGCTCCATTTCTTCCCCCTTTTTTTCTTCTTTCTTGTTTCTACTCTTTCGATTCAGATTTTCGCTTTTTTTTTTTGTTTTGAAAAAGATTTATTTTTGAGATGAACGAGTTT